AGGAAACTAATATAATATTGAAACAAGACATAAGCTAGCAACGATGGCCAGGTCTTTAATCCTAGAATTGTGTGTAAGCAAACCGAAGCATGAGATATTTGTATTAGCATCTATTGTAAGAGGTTAAATAGCATAATTTGAGGTTCGTGAAAAACTATGGCAAGCAACATGGTACAAAGTCTTAGAATAAACAGGTGGGAATAGAAAGTTTCCAAAGCTCAGATTCCAGATAAAAAGTTTTGAGAAAGTGGTATAAGCTTACTCAACTCACTTATCAGGTAGTTGAGTAGAGAAAAAGTATAACAGTGGTGCTCGATATGATGAGGATTCGATAATGATACTCAGACAAATAGAGGCCTATGACTCGAAGCTGTCCCGATCTTCCTGGCTGGTATGGGAGTCCTGACTAAATACAAGAGCTTAATGTGGATGAAAGAAATGTCATGGCTGATATCTAAGCAAATAATATTGTCTAATCGTGGTAAGAGATTGTAATTCATCTTTTATTTAAGGAAGGATAAAGCAGACGATAAAAGAGTGAGGACCGGTTATTAATATATATCAGAAGGCTTCTATTTATGTTAAAAAAAGACAACGGATCAACTAAAACTTGGCCCCATGTCATACTATAATACTAGAATATAATTTGTAATAACTTAGATTCTTAACTTTCCTTTGCATAGAGAGTATAACATTTCTGTGTAACTTTCTTTAGATACTCAGAAGTTAGGGCTTGTTTAAGGTTGCTATCCTTCTTGCTACTTTTTCCTCTTTCTTCCTGTTTCACATTCAATCCTGCTGCCATCATTACATTCTGTACTCTCAAAGTTCTAAGCCATTTTTTGCAGCAGGCTACAGCAGCCTCGCCAGAAGAAGATCCAGAGCTTTCTCTGACGAAAAAAGGTTGTAATCTCTAGGGGGAAAGTGTGTCAAAGGTACGCTGTTTCATCATTCCTTGGAGATAATCTTACAAAGGCTCGGCAGTCTGGGCTCTCATAATATGTCATTTTCTGTCATAATTGGCGGCAACTTTTCATTACTTTTAAACCATGGATGCGCTATCATGACTTATAAACTGAAGGGTATTTGTTTACTCCTATCAATGTATACTAATAAGGATATTTTATTTAACAGAAGTATTAAAGCTTTTTAAATGGCTGCATGGATAATCAAGTTCGCATAAAACATGCATTTGGGGATTGGCGGATAACTAGAGCTGCTTTATTGGCATGAGGGGAAATATGAATACATAGGTCATGGAACTTAAGCTTTAAGATTATATTGATTTAGAATTATTTGGTCAGTGTAATATTAAGGAAGCATGCGAAAGATTAAATGCATCGATATTTCGATGATCGACAGTCCTGTGTGCATGTGGCATTTGTGTATTCAATGGTTTTTGGCAGGCTTTGTGTGTAATAAATCACTTGGTAATAGTGAAGGCTTAATTAAAGAATTAATTTTGCACAGACGATATTTTATAATGGAAAAGATCTAATAAAACAGCGAATTTGCATTGTAAAGGCAAAGTATTAGCCCAATCTACATGCTAACTCAAATTAATTCAGTTCTTTCACCGCTATGCGCTGCAAGCTGTAGTAGTATATATATATATATATTATATATATATATATTATTATATATTTATATTAATATATTATATATATATTATTATTTTTCCGCATCCTAATCACTTAAGTTGATGGTCCACAATCAACTTCCTAGGCCACTCATTTATTAATATAAACCTTTTCCATATCATCAAGGGATCCCTAGGCAATAAGTTGCTAAAAAGCTTTGGTGGACAACTTTTTGCTTCACTTAAGTGACACAGTTTTGCTCATATATATATAATATATATGAATATATATATATATATATATATATATATATATATATATTATATTATATACTATATAATATATAAGTAAAACATCCGCCGGTCGGGCTTCACCACCCCCGGCTCGTCGGCGCACGAGCCGAAGCCAGGCAGCCCAACTTTTCAGGCCTTAACCGGGAACGAAGCTGGGTTCGGGCCCAATTGGGTCTGGGCCGGACACCGGGTCGGGTCCGGGCCCGAAGCTTATTTGGACACCTCTAGAATATCCTTTGGTTTCCTAATTTTCTATTTGACTTTTAAGCTCTATTGAAGCTTTTTTTTTCCTACCGGAAAAATGGGGCAAGTTGTTATATCATTGTTGAACTTTGAGTTTGTGTTATATATTATATTATATATTATATCTTTGTTTTTCAGAAACACTCTCTGTTGCTGACGATCATCGGCGATGGGGGTTGATGACTATTGGTGATGGGTTCTTTGGCAACAAAGATTTTCCTAGTGCTGATGTATATTAGTAACAGATTATTTGGCGTCAGCTATGAATATACCCGTAGCTGATTATTTATTTTCTACTAGTGAGGATCGTATCTGAACCACGTAAAGTTCTTATTGTTTGATTATAGTAATTGTGTTGTTTATTTTATATTTTTACGTAATGTATTCTTAGGTCGGCTTCGTATCCATTTTGGTTCCCAACGTATATGAGTCTAACTTTCTCAGATACCTCTTTTTTCTTTCTTTCTCTTTTTTTTGGAAAATTCTTTCTACCCCTAAGCAAAAGTCAATGCGGCACCTCTACCTCACTACAAATGGTCAACTGCTCAACTTCTTCTACTTTAGCTACAGTATTTTAACTTTTAACCCTATTTCCCACGAATCTTAAGTATTAATTAAAAAATAATCTCATCTTCTTTAATGGACATTGAGTAACAAAGTAAATACTCTACTGGTCATGGTTCCCCCTTCATGGCCCTCCTCCTCCAGCACACTCCCCCATCCCATGCTCTGCCACCTCCTTCACACTCCTCCCTCCAGCACCCATCCTCCTGTACTACTTGAATCCCAGCCTAAAAGTTTGTAGTAGCAGACGACAAGGTGTGGGAAAGGAGAGGAGAGGAAAGGAAGAGAGAGAGGAGGAGATCTGAGAAATACATCACAGGACAAAGGGAGGTCATGGTAAAGAAGGAGAGGAGATTGAAAGAGAAGGTCATGATATTGAAGGAGGAGGAAGGAATTACTTAAGTAAATACCACATATGCTATATTGGTTCTGAAGTTATATTATTCTTTTTTGTAGGAACATCAAAAAGATGGTGGACAAGCTTTAAATGAAGGAAGGAAACAAATAGCACCAACGCGGACAAGAAGTAAGAGCGATGATATTTTAAAAGGCATAATCTTAAAGCTATTGCACTTAAATACCATATAATTTCCCTTACTTTACACTTGTATACACTCACTTATTTTTTGGCAGCACTTATTTATCCTAAAGTAAATTCAGACTTATATTGGTCTCAAGGAGTTTGTGCTTATTGAACAATGACAGTCTCTTCAATTTTCATCCTAAATATGGTAAACTCAAGATTACACATCTTATTTTTACTGATGACTTGCTGCTCTTCTCCAAAGGAGATTTATACTCAGTTAATAAGCTCTATCAATGTGTTAAAAATTTTGGTCTCGTTTCTGGGCTTGAAACAAATCCTGAAAAATGTTCTATCTACTATAGGAGCGTTGATGAACCAGTCAAGACCAATATAAGCAATTGTCTGGGATTTTCAGCAGGGGTATTACCATTCAAGTATCTTGGAGTTCCCCTTATAACAAAAAGGATGTCTTTGTTGGACTGTGATCCTCTCTTCAAAAGGATTGAGGGACAATTCAAAAAATGGATTAATCACAGGAACCTCCTCTCTTCAAAAGGATTGAGGGACAATTCAAAAAATGGATTAATCACAGGAACCTCTCTTATGCAGGGAGACTTCAGGTCATCAAAAGAGGGACAATTCAAAAAATGGATTAATCACAGGAACCTCTCTTATGCAGGGAGACTTCAGGTCATCAAAAGTGTAATTCTTAGAGTTCAAATCTATTGGACATCAAATTATATCCTACCTAAAAGTGTGCTTCAAAGAATAGATGATCTTTGTAGAAAGTTTCTGTGCGGGAAATCTGATCAATCTGACAGAACAAGAACTTCTCTAGTTGCCTGGGAGAGAATTTGTTTGGGTAAAAAACAAGGAGGTTTGGGTATTTTTTCCGCCTCAAACTGGAATGTTGCTTCTGCATTACATAGCATCTGGTTTATTCACATCAACAAGGAATCTTTGTGGATCAAATGGATCCATGGAACATACTTAAGGCACAAGGACATTTGGCAAGTTAAAGCTAGATCAAGAGACTCTTGGAATTGGAAGCAATTGTTAAAGGTCAGGGATAAAATGATTGGTTTCTGTAGGGGAATTGACAAGCTGAAAATGTTTATAAGTTCTTGTTACAAAAATGCTAAGCTCAAGCTGTCAACATTGTATAATGCTCTTTCTCCTGCTACGACCAATGTGCCATGGTACAACATTGTTTGGGAGGAATCGAATGCTCCTAAACACTCTTTTGTGAGCTGGTTGGTATTTCAGGACAGATTACTCACACAAGATAGGCTTCTGAAGAGAGGAATAATCGACACAAATATTTGCTACCTCTGTTCTGGTGCAAGTTTGGAAACTAGAGGTCACTTATTTTTCGAATGCTCATACTCTAGTAATATTTGGAATTGCATCATGGAGTGGTTGAAGTTCAATTGGAAATCATGTCAATGAAACCATATATTGGATTAGTATTCCAACAGGTTAAGAGGAAAGGGATTCAAGCAAAAAAATTAAGAGGATGACCTTAACAACTACAATTTATTGCATATGGAGAGAGTGTAATGTCAGATTTTTCAGCAGAAATGCAAATCAACATATCAATTGACAAGAGAAATTCAGTTTCATATTATGACTTCAGTGCTCAATAGTTCATTATATGTATTTTGGGATCAGGCAATCCTTTAAGGTGCTATGGTTTTTTGTTTCAGCAATTTTTTTGCTTTCTCTGTTGATGATTGTACTGAACATTTAGGTGTACATAAACTCTTTTTCATTTTGGTTATGAAATAAAAATTTTTCACTGACCAAAAAAAATTCAAACTTATATACCCTCGCTTGTATATGGATAGCACTAATATGCCTGAAATTTTTTAAAACTTACACTTAATTACCCTAAAGTTTTTAAAAATTGCTCTCAAAAGTATAAATTTTTTATAATTAGTTTAATTCCTTCAAAACTTGTGTTATTGTTATCTATTTTAGTTCATTTACTCTAAATTATAAGTTTTATACATGTATGTGTTCCAATGGGAAGAGCACAACGAGAAATTAGAAACAAAAAAAAGTTAATTGCAGTTAAATACCTTATTGTTTTAACTATGATGTACTTGTTGGCCTTATTGTTTTGATGATGTTTAACAAACAATTTACTACTAATGTTGTTTGTTTAGTGTTTGTGTATTTCTATTTATTATAGACAAATAACGAGTTGGAGGATGGATGGAATAGCGCTTCAACGACAATATCAAATGGAGGTTAGCGGAATTGTGGAGTGAAGCTTATGCAATTCAAGTTCAAGATCCAAGTTCAGCTTCATCCGTATAGTGTACCAAGTCAAGCTTATTGAAGATCAAGATCGGCTTGGGTAATCTAGTTTAGGTTTTATATTATGTGTGTTAGATGACTTCATAACAACTTTTTATATCTTTTATTAAGTCTATAAGAACGTTTGAAAATGTTTCAAAGTTGTGTTTATGTCAAAACATCAAATTTTATGTATATCAACTTTTCATGTTTTTGACATACTTACAAAATACATGATTTTTCACAATTGGGAAATACAATTTGAAAAAAAAATTCGTTTACATGTTTATCATCGTAT